TAAAATATTTCTATGGTCTTTTTAGAGTTGCCAACAGAAAGGGAGGGGGAACAGTGCGGCAGTTTGGAAATCAAAAGTACATTCCATAAATAGTTTTCAAAGATAGTAACTAGGTGACTGAAGTTTCTGCCGTGCAAAATTCTAACCCAGGGAGGGAGGAGCAGTGGGCAGCTTGCATTCCATAAATGTTTTCAAAGATAGTTTCTAGATGACTGAAGTTTCTGCCGTGTAAAATTCTAACTGGAGAGTATGATTAATGACTCTTGGCTATGGATGTGTCCCGTTGGAGAATATGAATTACGATACACCCAGGGGGTGGGAGAAAACCGGGGTCAAGGGTGACAATGAATGATGTGTCTCAGAGTTAGCTACACCCAGGCAGTACCGGACATGTTTACTCCTAATAAATCTTCTTTAAGTTTTGGAAGTTCGGCTCAAGACTCATGATTTAAATGGGGGTAGCTGCCAGAGCCCTGACTTGTGCGCTCACCAAACCTGTTGTTACACCAGCTGAATCCCACCACTGCTCATAAGTCACTTTGTTCAGTGCCATTGTAACTTTGAACAGTCACTAAATGAACTGTTGTAAGTCAAGGACTTTCTGTACACCCAGCTCTTCCATGGTGCGTTTCCACAAAGTCTTGGGAAGAAGGTTTAGACTGCCATGTGTAAAAATTCAGCCGGGAAATGAAAACATGGATTTGCTGAATGGAACGCTTTCTCTTCTCTTACCTAAATTCATCGCCCAGGTGAGTCGCCAATAAAATGTCTTCTCCTCTCCCTATTGGAGGTGGCCAAGATCCAGAAAAGCACTCAAGAAGGTGAATGCGTGTCAGTTTCCATTAATTTTTTTACGGGACCCACATATGACCTTGAGTGCTTTTGCACTTGAGAAGTAATGTCCTTATAGTCCTCGTGATTTCATTTCTTAGAAATTTTTTGTATTTTTATTTTTTTTCCAAACCCAACTGAGGGAGGAGGGGAAAAGAAAAAAAGAAAGAAAGAAAAAGACAGAATTCAAGTCTCAACTTGGCTTGCAGTTAAAAAATAAATCAAAAATGCTGCAAAGCCATAGGTAGAGAGATCTGGTGGTTTTTCCTCCTGCGATAATCAGAACACCTGGCTGTAAAAAAAAGGAGCTTGTTTTTCTGCTCAGTTGCTCGTGGCGGGTTTCACAGGCCACCTTATCTCTGAAGTTGCAGAGATCACTTCGGAGACAAATCAGCCACAGTTTCTTTGCTTATTGCTTTATTTATTAAACCTGTTAAATTGATATAACAAAATAATAGAGTTTGGGAGGAACCTTGGAGGTCTTCTGGTACAATCCCCTGCTCAGACAGGATACCCTATACCAGGGGTGTCAAACTCAAGGCCCCGGGGGCCGGATCTGGCCCGTGGGCTGCTTAAATCTGGCCCATAGGGCCATTCTGGAGACAGCAAGGGACTGGCCCACAGTGCCTCTGCCAGTGAAAATGGAGCTCAGGAGAGCTGTGTGCGGCTCTCTCAAACTTTATTTTTGCTGGCAGAAGGTTGCAAGAAGTCATTGAAGCTGGAAATTGGAGCTCAGGAACTTTTGCTGGCAGAGTGCTTGGGCCAACCCGGCCCCCAGAGGTCAAACACAACCCTGATGTGGCCCTCAATGAAATCGAGTTTGACACCCCTGCCCTATACCATTTGAGACAAACGGTTGTCCAATCTCTTCTTAAAAACTTCCAGTGTTGGAGCATTTACAACTTCTAGAGGCAAGCTGTTCCACTGGTGAATTGTTCTGTCTTCTTAGTTCTAGGGTGCTTCTAGGTTTCCATCCATTCTTCCAAAGGTGCTTTTTTCAAGTGGCAACTTCCTGGTTTTTCTTTGAAGATGTTTTGCTTCTCATCCATCCATTGCTTCTTGTCCTGTGTTCACCTACTTTGGAGAATAGCTTGACTTCCTCTTCTTTGGGGCAGCCCCTGAGATATTGGAACATGGCTATCATGTCACCCCTAGTCCTTCTTTACATTAAACCAGGCATACCCAGTTTCAGTAACTGTTCTTTATATGTCTTAGCCTTTAATCCCCTAGTTATCTGTGTTGCTTTTCTCCGCACCGCTTCCAGAGTCTCAACATCTTTCTTTATGTTATGGCAACCAAAGCTGGATGCGGTATTCCAAGTGTGGCCTTACCAAGGCATTATAAGGTGGTACTAATGTTTCATGAGGTGGCGCAGTGGCTCAGTGGCTAACAGTTTGTCACTAAGAAAGGTTGGTAGGTCGGCGGTTCAAATCCCTAGCGCTGCATAATGCAGTAAGCTCCCATTCCTTGTCCCAGCTTCTACCAACCTATCAGTTCGAAAGCATGTAAAAAATGCAAGGCAGAAATATAGAAAAATAGGGACTCCTTTGGTGGGAAGGGAACAATGTCCAGTGCGCCTTCAAAGGTGTTTAGTCCTGTCAGCCACATGACCATGGAGACGTCTTCGGACAGCCCTGGCTCTTCAGCTTTATAACGGAGATGAGCACCGCCCCCTAGAGATGGAAATGATTAGCACATCTGCGCGAGGGGAACCTTTACCTTAACATTTCATGTGATTTTGATTCTATTCCTCTATTAATGCAGCCTAGGACTGCATTGGCTTTTTGGACATCGCTAGCTCATATTTAAGTGACTGTCCACTAAGGATATATATGTCTTCATATATGGGATTTAAATAATTTAACAACCGATTCCCTGCCCTAATGATTTCTTCCAACAACCAGTTCGCCAAACGGCTCAGAAAGTTAACAACCGGTTCTCCCGAAGTGGCGCGAAGTGGCTGAATCGCATCGCTGTGGGTCTCCCATTTCACTATCGAGCCACTCTGGGGGGCTTGCAACCAAATAAAAACAAAAAATGAAAAGGATAAAAGTTAAAATGCTCTGCACTCACGAAAGTACTGTTTACTGGGATTTCCCCCACCTGCTCTTTATCAAAAATAATTCTGCTTCATCGTTATGCAGGTTTAACATTCCCTCAAGTTCTTTTTGGGACGGCCATTATGCCTGTGTGGCTTTTTCCGCCTCCATAAATATCTGTCTTGGTCTCCCCTTTTAGAAGCTGAGAGAAGCCATGTGCTTTTCTGCATCACATCCTTTTGCTTCCCGCTTTAGTAAATGAGCCATACGAAAGATAATATCATTACTAATTATGTTCGGTGGTGCTGGGTGGCGGCCAATGTCTGTTCCCCTCGCTCGATACCATTTAGGCTTGACGTATGGTTTCCTAGAAAGTTAAAACCAAAACACTGGCTGTGTAGAAAGGAAAACCCAAAATATTTTGGCTCCAGCTCAGTTGCAGGAGGCCTGATTCATCCAAGCCAAACGGAGAATTCTGGAAATAAAATTATGGCTGGATCAGGTGACTTTCCTGGTGTTGTTTTGAGGCAGAGGAATGTGATTCTTGTCGTTGGCTCTGCCTATTGTTTGCTAGAGTTAGGGGAGGAAACAGCAGAGCAATTAGATTTGGGGCACAGATAAGTGCTGTGGCTGGAATGCAAACAAGAGGAAAGGATCTCAGCAGCTGCAGCCAATATGGGAAAGGCCAGCAATTAATTGGGAATTGCAAATCCAAAGGCCCCATCCATCTCCAGTCCCTCAAGATAAGCACCCACCTTTCTCTCCTTTGAATTGCTGCCAACAACTAGAGTGCCAAATGAAATATAAAAAACCAACTAAAGGAGAAAGTCCTCACAGAGCTTTAAGGTTTAATCTGAACAGAGTGAACGATGTTGCTTCCGGCAAAGGTTTCTCTACCTTTGCATTTCCTTTATACCTTATGGGAGGGGCAATCACCTCCCAGGCTTACTGCCAAGTTGTCCCTTTTGTCTTAGTTGTTCTTGCCTTCTAGCAGCTCTGTGCATACACATACTGGGAACAGGCTCCCCTTGTTCATCTGCCTTGCTGCTGAGGCTCTGGAATCTCCGGAGTCAGTACCCCACTCCTAGGAGGTCCTGGGCCCATCTCTGCATTGGATGCAGGACCCTCATCCGAGTCCTCTCCAGACACCCAGACTGGTCCCTGTTCTTCCCCACTGTCCGATTCCACTGCCTGCCATCTGCACTGGCTGCCAGTGAACCACAACACTAATCAAGGAGAGATTCAACCTAGAAATAAGGAGAAATTTTCCAACAGAACAGTCAATCAATCAAACAGCTTGCCTTCAGAACATATAGCTTTTACCAAGGGATTATACAGACATTTTATATATTTATTCTATTTATTTATTTTGTCAAGCGATTATAAGATAACAGGTATAAATATAAACATAGTTATGAATACATAAAATGGATACATATAAGAAAAATAAAAAGAAACACTAGGACAGTGATGGTAGGCACGTTGGTGCACTTATGCACGCCCCCTACAGACCTCTTAGGAAAGGGGTGAGGTCAATAGTAGACAGTCTCAGTTTAAAGTTTTGGGGGAAGAAATCACAGAGTCAGGTAGAGTATTCCAGACATTGACCACTCTGTTGCTGGAGTCTTCCTGCAATCAAGTTTGTTCTGATTAACCTTGAGTTTGTATCTCTTGTTTGGTCTTGTGTTGTTATGATTGAAGCTGGAAGTATTCATTGACAGGTAGGACATTGCAATATATGATTTTATATACTATACTTAGATCGGACCAAAGGCGGCGTAGTTCTATTTTTTCTAGGTCTAGAATTTCAAGTCTGGTGGCATAAGGTATTCTGCAACGAGTAGAGGAGTGGAGAACTCTTCTTGTGAAATATTTCTGAACTTTCTCAACTGTGTTAATATCAGATACATAATGTGGGTTCCAGACTGATGAGCTGTATTCAAGTATTGGTCTAGCAAATGTTTTGTATGCTCTAGTTCAGGGGTGGGCAAACTACGGCCCGCGGGCCACATCCGGCCCGTTGGTCATTTTAATACGGCCCGCCTCTGAAAAAAAAATTGGGGCCGGCCAAAAGAGACCCCGCACCGCACGCCATAAAATCGCACACACAACACGGAGCTGGGCAGCCGCTTCCCTGGTGGCAGGGCCGAGGTCGCCACCCAGGGAACGCCCACTGCTTTCCCTCCACCCGGGCTCTGCTCAGGTGTCAGGAGTAGCTACCGCGGGTGCAGCTCCACGTGGCTCCAGTCCCGCGTTGCCTTGGGAAGGGAAAGGCAAAACCAGGAGCCGCTGAGCCTGAGCCTCCGGTGCCGCTGTGCCATTGCAAAGCGCCACCGCGGTTCTTCCTTTTTGCCTTTCCCTTCCCGAGGCAATGCGGGACTGGAGCCGCGTGGAGCTGCGCCAGCGAGAGCAACTCCTGACTCAGGGGGCCTCCGAGGGGAGGGGAAGGAGGAGAAGAAGGGGGGGGAGGGGGGGGGGGGAATTCCCAAAAAATCTTGTGCTGACCCGGCCCATCTGTCAAATTTTAAAAGTCAATGTGGCCCCCGAGCCAAAAAGTTTGCCCACCCCTGCTCTAGTTAGTAGTGTGATATTACCAGAGAAAAAGCTACGTAGGATTAGGTTAACAACGCTTAATGCCTTTTTGGCTACGTAGTTACAGTGGGCTCTAGCACTTAGATCATTATAGATGAGTACTCCGAGGTCTTTGACAGAGCTTGGATCATCAACAAGGTCTTGACTATTCAGCCTGTATTTTATTTTCTGATTTTTTTTTGCCAATATGTAAGACAGAGCATTTATTGGTTGAGATTTGAAGTTGCCATTTGTTTGACCATTCTGATACATAGTTGAGGTCCTTTTGGAGGGTAGCAGTATTGTCAGTGGTGTTGAAATAATTTGTCTGAAATAATATAGCGTGGGACTAGAAGACCCCCAAGGTCCCTTCCAACTCTGTTATTGTGTCATTCATATGTCTGCAGGTTAAAGCTTCATTGACTTGTGTAGCAAGCAGAGCTTCTTCAGAAGTTTTCACTGCTGTGTTTTCCCCCTGGAAGAAAAGGCGATAGGTCTCATGCCTAAGGTGGGACTAGAACTCGTGGAGACCAGGTTTCTAGCCTAGTGCCTTCACCATTACACTAAAGTGGCTCTGTACATGTTTGTAAACCAGGATTCTTATTTATAGCTTCAGTGGTGGGGTACATATATTGCCTTCGCTGTCAGCTAAGAAGCAAATAGAAAGTTTTTGGAAGTTGTTTGGATGTAGGCATGGGTGTCTGGGAAGGAAACTTCACTAGATCATTTCCCACTGTTCCCCAAAGGGCTCCAAATATCAATTAAGATTGTTTTCAGTCTGAATGACGGCTCAGGACTAGCTCCCAAGCCCCTGTCGGGTGCATTTGTCAGAATTCGTGCTTGCTTTAATTTTATTTACTGTGTTTTGTGGAATTCGGGGAAGAGGATAAGTTAACTTCGGTGGCCTCCCTGCTCAGTTAATCTTCAGTCTATCAAAAGAATTATGAAATCTTTTAAGATCAAATGTTCAGACACTTCACAAAGGTTGTCACAGTGAATTCATTTGTCAGTCTTTCATCTCGCTTTCCCCTGCTGTGCCAAAATAATGTCAGTGAGTTTTTTTCCATTTCTTTCTCTTGCCGAGGACTTTTCGAGCTCATAAAAGTAGCCACGGACAAAGGAGATTGCATATTCTGGCCCTCACTTTTAACGTTTGTTAGTTTGTTTCGGAGCAGTTCATTTCACCTGCCCAGAAAACCTCAAGACAGGTGTTGAATGTTCATTTCTGCATCGGCTCAATACCACCTTATGAATAGAATTGTTGATATTGCTGTTGTTTTTCTCTGTTGCTTTTTGCCCAAGAGGTATAGAAGAGTTATCCAAATATTATTTTATTTTTAACAATGCATTTGTGCTTGTGTGTGTGTGTGCTTAAGTAACAGCCCATTCTCCCATTGTGTTAAAAACCCAAAAATAATAATCAGTGAGAAAGTAATGGTGCCTGAGACTCAAAAGAATTAAAGTCTGGACAGTTGAAGTTGAAACCAGCTATTTTGAGATTTCAAGACCGGACTAACTAAATCATAGGGATGAGAAAGGACAATGATTTAAGTTGATATATCTAGGAAGTGTTCATCGGGATTCATCTTGGCATGAGAAATAGATGAAAATCAGATTATGCCAATGGGTATGATATCTACAGTTTGATTCTTTTCACCTAGAATATTACGGAGAGAGTACTAAATAAATGCACTGTCCAAAAGTTCATTCTCAAAGATGAAGTGTTTACAGTCCTTGAAGCTGGAAATGAATACAGTAATTTCTTCCCAGCATTGGATTTCCTAAGGCTGAATGTGTGTTGTTGGGTTTTTTTGCACAGATTAAATATGTCCAGCAGTCTCATGAGGTGGCACCAAACTCAAGTGGAAGGTAATAAAACTTTAATTGTCCAACCTGTGAAGTTTCCATGGCCATCTGCTTGGGTATTATGGAAGTGGCAAATCAGAGATTATGGATTGGTTCTTTGTATAGAACATAAAACCCTTGAGGTTGAATTGAGTTGTAAGAACCAGGTCGAAAGTCATGTGTCCATGTACTTCATGTAGACCTGTCTCCTGTGTTATCTAATGGTCACCCAGAGTATTTGAGATGTTCACAAGCAATATAACAGGAAGGGAATCATCATCTCCAATGGCTGCCCCATTGCAGTTGTTCTGAAGGCACTTTTTCCAAAAGACAATTGGACTTTCTTGAGTTTTTTTCTTCAAAAACATTTTGCTTCTCAACCAAGAAGCTTCTTCAGTTCTGGGAAAAAGAATTAAAAAAAAGAAAGTTCAGTTGCCTTTTGGAAAAAATACCTTTGGGACATCCATGACCTGGAAGATTGTGAATCTCCATAGACACCACACTGCAGTTAGTGTTTCAGGCTTCTTGTCTGTGATTCAGGAGTAGCATCACAGCCATCTCTACCAGCCAAGATATTTGACCCTTCATAAAACTCCTACTCCAAAACCACCATTGGTGAGTAGAAATTCCATACCCAAAAAGTCCCCTTTAATGGGAATTCCCTGAATTTCCCCATGTCCTGTTTTATTTTTCAGGGGGAATGACCTAGAGAGATAATGGAGTCCATGATCTCCACCATGCATGAGTCCATAAAACTCTATCATGTCTCTTGTTCCAAGGTGAAAGACCCACAACTGCTGTAATGTCTTTGGTTCTCAATTTATAGCAATGGTTCTTTAGCTTCATGACACAAACCCTAGAATGGTTGTTAGCAGTGGTGGTATTCTACCGGTTCAGCCCGGTTTGACTGAACCGGTTGTTCCAATGATCATCTGTGAGCGAAGGATCAGTTGCTGGGCTCTCCCACTTGCCCTGGTTCTATATCCTGCTTTTCAACCTCAGCTGCATTGCGCAGCATAGCCGATTGCCACACAACAGCTGTTGAAGACACAGGAAGAGTGCAGGATTGCAGGAGAAGGTTAGTAGGAAACCCTCTGCACCAGGGGTGGGATTCAAATTTCTTAACAACCGGTTCTATGGGCATGGCCTAATTTGTGGGTATGGCTTGGTGGTCATGTGACTGGCTGGGCGTGGCTTGTATGTAACTATTATAAATATTTATGTAAATATTGTTTTTTTTTAAATAAAAAAGAGCAACTTTTACCCAAAGTCAGGCAAAGCAGGCAGACAGATTGAGTTGCTCACAGAATCACAGATTCACTCAGAGAGCTACTTTTCTGCAATCTGCTGTCTGAGTCTGCATTGAATAATAGAAGCTTCAGTCCAAAGGAAGGTTCAGCTCTGCTTTTAGATTAGCCAGAAAGCAGGAAATCTAGCTAATCGAAATCTCCCAGCACAGCAGAACAGCTGATACTTGGGGGGTGGAGGGGGGAAGGAAAAATAGCAACTTACCAAACGCAGGCAAGTTTGATGGCACGCATGCCAGGTAAGGAGTGAGTGGATGGGGAAGGGAGGAACGAGACCAGCCAGTGGCACAATTTGCTGGTTCTCCAAACTGGGCAGAATCATAACAACTGGTTCTATAGAACTGGTCCAACCAAATCGAATCCCACCCCTGCTCTGTGCGCGTACAAAGCATGCATTTGGCACAAGTGTGCACAAAACACATGTGCGTGGGCAAAATGTGCCCACCACGCCACACCCACAGAACCAGTGGTAAACCAGTTTGAAAACCACCACTGGTTGTTAGGTTTCCCGATGCTTATTCTACGCTTGTTTGGTTGCTGATGGTTCCCCAGTCTACCTCATGCCCTCAAGCTGTAGGACCTGTTTCCCATGACCTCTGACAACCTTATCCTACATGGGCCAGGCTAGCTCCACTAATAAAGAACATTGCCTTGATCAGACCGAATGGAAATGCGTAATATGCGCTAATCATGAGAAGCTTCATTATGTTAACTCCTGTGCCTAATTAGGTGCACTTGTTAATTTGATTCAATGTATACCTTTCAAATTAGATTGCCATTTAATGGATGATTTACTCACCCAATTTATAATTTTAGCCAAGTCCAAAGGGTTATAATCTGCCCCTCCGTTTCTGCAACGCTGCCTCCATTTCGAGTCTGAATGAGGAGTTTTGTCAGGAGCAATCATATAGTTTGCACTTAACTTTCCCCCAAATTTATATGCATTTAGAAACTGCAGAGTGTTACCGTGCACTCTGCTTTTAATGGAATTATAACGGACAGCAGTAACCTATTCAGAGCATGCCTGGGTGGTATCAGCTCCCATCTCCCCCCCCCCTTATTCTCTTTGCCTTATGTTATGTATAATTAGATGGTGTTCCACATCCTATTTTTTAGGAGAACATGGCAGCCTTTAGGAACCTTTGTGAGTTCATTGAATCAGACTGAATGGGCCCTCCGTTAATCTTACTATCTTAATCTGTGCCCAGGCTGAAACTATCCCCAGGCTGCCTCTGGCCACCCAGGATGGGAGGAGGGGGGATATTCTTCATAATTCCTCCAACGTTGCCACCCAAATCTGATGGCCACCCCCATTCTTCGAGGGAGCTTAAAGAGGATAACATTGAGTTTCGTCTTAGTAAACGCAATTAAATATATTTAATGGATTTTTTTTTCCCCTGGTCCATTCACATGTTTATCTTGGCTCTGACTACATTTTGGAGGCCGGCCGTTGCGGACTGAAGAACAAGTGTGGTACAGGTTCCTGAAGAAAAGACAAATTCACACATGCCACAACGGGCATCGTGTCTGGGGTGCAGCGATGCTACAAAATGCTTCAATAAAGCACAACAATACATGAGGACCAGGGTTGGGATTCAATTTTTTTAATAAGTGGTTCTGAGGGCATGGCTTAGTTGGTGTGTGTGGCTTGGTGGTCATGTTATATTGGCTGCGCGTGGCCAAGTCAATATCATTCACATCGAGGGACGCATCTCCTCCTGGCTTCTCATGACTGTGAGGATGCTGCAACAGTCGTAAGTGTGAAAAATGGTCATAAGTCACTTTTTTTAATGCCATTTTAACTTTGAATGGTCACTCCACACAAGCAAATACCAGCAAAGGAAGGGAAAAAAACTCCAGAGAAGTTCCAGAGACAGGAAGTCTAGTCCTGTCAAGAATGTAATAAAGGTTAATGGAGAGGCAGTTTCTGTAAGCAACACCAGAATGTTTCCTTCCTGCCTTCCTGACAGGATTAGGCCAGTAATTTCTTCCAACAACTGGTCCTTCGAACTGCTTAGAATGTTAACAACCAGTTCTAGCAAATAGGTGCGAACTGGTAGAATCCCACCCAGATGAGGACAATGGCAGAAGGTTTGCATGTTTATAGATTAACAGAGTTGGAAGGGACCTTGGTGGTCATCCAGTTCAACCCCCTGCCAAAGAAGGAGACCCTAACCCATTTCTGACAAATGGCAGTCCAAGCTCTTCTTGAAAGTCTCAAGTGATGAAGCTGGCAAAACTTCTGAAGGCAATTTCTGTTCCATAGGTTGATTGCTCTCACTGTCAGAAAATTCCTCCTTATTTGAATCTCCCCTTGTTCACTTTCCATCCATGATTTCTCGTCTGGCCTTTGGGTGGCTTGGAAAATAGCTTGACCCCCTCCTCCTCTCTGTGGCAGCCCCTCAAATATTGGAAGACTACTATCATGTCTCCCCTGGTCCACTTCCCTAGACTAGCCAGGCCCAGTTCCTGTAACCATTCTTCATATGTTTTAGCCTCCAGTCCCCTCATCATCCTGTTTACTCTTCTCTGCACTTTTTCTAGAGTCTCCACATCTTTTTTATAACACGGTGACCAAAACTGGATTCAGGATTCAAGGTGTGGTCTTACTAAGGCTTTATAGATTGTCCTTGTAGATTTCCTGGTGGCATCTCACGGACTACAGCAGAAAGAGCAACTGATTTTATTGACCAGGTCTGTTGTAGAAAGAAAAAAAATGCTTCTTCGTATGTTGGAAATGACCTCAAAAACCCATCTTCATTTGTCTGACTATTCTCTGCATATGCTCTTGTGCAGAAGATGACTACCGTGGTGTGATTCCAAGGTGGAGCTGCTCAGAAGAACTTTGTTTCCAAGGACCATTTTTTTCAGATCTCCCACAGAATGAAGCATCCTGTGGGATTCTTGATGCCCTCTGAGCTTGGTTGTTTTCTTGCAGATGTTTCATGACCCAACTAGGTAACATCATCAGTGCTAGATGAGAGTGGGGTTTCCTGTCTGTTTATATAGTAATGGCTTACCCTATAAGTGTTGGTGGGTATAGTCTTGGTGCTTCCTTGATTAGGCTATTGATTAATGTTTATTTGTCTGAGTTGGTAGTTCCTTGATTGGGGTATTTTGAATCGCCCGTTTCAAGTTCTCCATTGCGCTAAAATTACTATAATCAATGCTCCTATGCATTTTTAAAATAACTTTTAATAATGCAAGAAGAGCAAACGATATGCACAACTCTTCCAAAACCTGTCATTGTTCTGTTGCCACAGTTTACAGCTCATCTATCCATGGAACAAGTCTGATTCTACCATCCGACCCTCTCAGCAACTTGACTTTGTGATATGAACCAGCTGCATCCACGCCCAACACCTCCATCTTAAGTGCAACAAAATTGTTCCACTACCATAAGGCAGATTTGAGGGGAGATCTTGCAATAGAACACGGTATTAGAACACCCAAGCATCACCTGATATCACGTCTAAAGAATGTGAAACTTTCCAGAAAGAAAATGGAAACCAGTCCTCATAGGCTCAAGGTTGATCCTTGATCTTTTCGAAAAAGCTGTTTTGAATTTTGAAGTTGTAACGACTCTTTTCTTCTCCCTCCTCCTTTCCTCTCTCTATCTCTGTTACATACACAAAGAACAAGCAGTCAGAGCCTGCTCTTTCTTTGGGTTTTGTTGTGAAGGGCTCACACAGTAAATTGAGAAAAGGAGGAGGAGGAGGAAGAGGAGGGGGAGAAGGGGAGGGAGGGGGAGGAGGAGAGAATGAAGAAACAGAGATCATCATGTGATTTTACTAGACAACATAATCAGGTCAAACTCAAGCGTACTCAGATGTGGTACTCAGCAGGTTCTGACCAGTTCTGGAGAACAGGTAGCGGAAATTTTGAATGGTTCAAAGAACCGGCCAATCCCACCTCTGACTGGCCCCACCAACCCTATCACTTCTCTGCCTCCCATTGAGTCCCAGCTGATCGGCTGGGTCTTCTTTGGTTGCCCTGCACAGGAGAACAGAGCTGGAAAGCAGGTTAGTGGAGTGGGGACGGAATGGGGATTTTGCAGTATATACTTCCCCTGCCACGCCCACCAAGTCAGGCCCACAGAACCGGTCATGTGTTGGAGTCAGTAGGTTTCCGGCCCACAGAAAAAACACACCAAATTCTGAATGTATGTAGATGATTCAGTGTTATAAGTCACAGCTCCACCCCCACTCCCTTGGCAGGAACAACACAATCAAATCAGCCACTTGATTGGCTGCATCTCCATTGTGGTCCATCTCCAGACCTGCTGACCAAACCATGTCTTGAGGGCCTTTTGGAAAAGCAACAAAGTAGGGGCCAATTGTATCTGGAGATTGAATGATATTCCATAGGGAAGAGGCCACCCTGGAGAAGGTCCTTTTTCATGTTTCCACCAGATCTACATCCCTAAAAGATGGGACTTGCAATACCCACTGACTCCCTTCTCCTGGTGGGCTGGATGGACCTTCATAGCTCTGAAAGTCTATTATAGCAGAAGATGGATAAAATCTGTTGTCTTTCTTTTCAGAGTTAAGATGCCAGAAGATCAGAAGATGTCCATTGAAGGAAAAATAGTTAAACTAAAGAAGAGTTTGATCATGAAGCCAATTATCTAGGAAAAGTTGTGGTCTTCCTTTTGTGGTTTATGTGATAAAACAAGGGCAAGAATGACCCTGGTTGGAGCCACTTTCATTTGGAGCAATGGGTAGGCCCTGAGATCCAAAATGTTCTTGCTTGCCTTCAGAAGTTGTGGGAGCTTCATCCCTGGAAGCTTTCAAGAAGAGACTGGACTGCCATCTGTCAGAAACAGTGTAGGGTCTCCTGCTCGGTGGGGGGGTTGAAGTAGATGACCTACAAGGTCCCTTTCCAGCTCTGCTGATCTGCTAAATTGGTCCTTCCAACTTTACGAAGTCCAGCTACAGAAGTGGGGTAGGGAGGAAGGGAAAGAATTCAGAGCTTGTACCACCTCCAGAGAGTTGCAATTGGGACACAGTACATTCTGGCACAGCATCCCACGGCTGATTTCTGCTTGCAAACATTCTGTATTTCTCATTAAAGTATGGGATTATTAACATCAAACGATGACAAAAGAGGGAAACAGTAGGACACCGATCCCAGAAACAGAGCAAAACACTCGTTTAATTTCTTTTCATTCCAGCATCTGCCTTTTCATATTATGACTGTGTTTTCCCAACCATGTCAGCAATGTGTCTGCAACTTCCTTCCATCGTCTGTCCTCCACACTCTGGCGCCTACCCCGGCATTGTTGCATTCTCACATGGAGCAGCACCCACTTGCTACAACACACAATAGGGATTGTGTTCTTCCAGTGTCTCAGCATTTCTCGACATTTGTTAGGTCATTTTGCGGCTTCTTTGGAAGTTTGTGCAAGCAAACATTCCCTTAGCACCAGTCCTTGTCCCTGGAAATGGCACTTTTGGGTAGGAGAGACAGCATGGTCTAGTGGTTAAGGTGTGGATCTACAGACTTGGAGACTGAGAGTTCTAGTCCTATTTTACTCGGTATCAAAATCAGCCAGGTGACTTCAGAGCAATCACTGGGAGAAGGTGAATTCTAGTCCCACTTTAGGCATGAAAGCTGGTTGGTCACTTTGGGACTATTACCAGGCGATGGTGAGTTCTAGTTCCACCTTAGTCCTGAAAGCCATCAAGGTGAGTTTAATCCAGTCCTTCTTTCTCAGGCCAATGCTCCTCACAGGGTGGGGAAACTAGAACATTAAACATTAGGTAGGACATATAAGTTATGTCCACACTGCCTCAAGTTAGTTATAAATTTGCCTTGCAAATCTTGGGCTGACCTGCAGAATATCACTGAAAGCTGATTTAAGCAATATTCATCAACTCATCCAGTGAGATTTAGCAGATGGATTTATCTTGACTTCATTCATTAAGGCTTCAGAGGTTTCACCGATCAATTCATTCGTTAAGGTTGCACACAAAGCAATATATTTTTTTGCAGAAAAACTACCTTGCAACAATGCATCAATAACTTCTCAACTTCTGGTTTGCGAAAGGTTTTTTTTTTTTTTCTTATATATGAGAGATGGGCAAAGAACTCTTGAATCAGTGCTACTTTTAGTACTGCGCTGTAAGAAGTTAAGATGTTCAGAGAAGATCAATCAAAATGTTCAAGTCTGGAGATCCTCTTTTTCACTAGATATGGAAAAAAGATGCTTAGAAAATAATGGAAATAATCTATCTCCAATCCTTCTTTGGGAAGGAGAAAGTTTAGCCTTGGATGTCTGGTGTCAGCATAAAGAACATTCAAAAGGCTTAACATTCTTAGAACTTAAAATAATTTTATTGTCACTTTGAACATACACTAATCATCATACATTAAAATGATATTTCATTGCATTAAAGGCACATTATGATAAATATGTATAAGTGGCTCTTGGTGCTCTCTGGGGCTGGCTTGTTTTCTTGCAGGTGTTTCATTACCCAAATTGGGCAACTTATGTTATTGCTGATAATGTTACCTAGTTTGGTAATGAAACATCTGCAAGAAAACAAGTAAGCCCAGAGAGAACCAAGGATCCCTCAAGTCAACCCTGAGCTACCCATATTCTCCTTGATAAGTACGCATAAATATTCACAGGGCGTTTGTAGTCTCAAACTAGTGAATAACTTTTATCTGGATCATAATGTTGGTTTGGGACAATGGTGGCTCAGTGGCTGAGCTTGTCGATCAGAAAGGTCGGCAGTTCGGCAGTTTGAATCCCTAGCGCCGTGTAACGGAATGAGCTCCCGTGACTTGTCCCAGCTTCTGCCAACCTAGCAGTTTCAAAAGCACGTCAAAAATGCAAGTAGAAAATTAGGGACCCCTTTGGTGGGAAGGGAACAGCGTTCCATGCACCTTCGGCATTTAGCCACATGACCACGGAGACGTCTTCGGACAGCGCTGGCTCTTCGGCTTTGAAACAAAGATGAGCACCGCCCCCGAGAGCTGGAAACGCCTAGCATGTATGTGCGAGGGAACCTTTATCTTTACCCGATGTTGGTTTATTCCCCAAGTTCCTAGCAATTTCTGATTGGGAAAATCTGCACATCACTGAAATAAACGCAGCTTCCCCTATGTGATATCATGCATGAAAAAAAAAACCAAGGAGAGGATAAGAAGATGGGGCAAGGGTGAAGGATTGGTTGATACTGAAACTCAAAAAAACCCCACAAAAAACAACCCTCATTATCTCAGCGGGTGGGAGTTACACACCAGAGGATCAAGGGAAATATCTCAGATGCTTCGC